TCCCCAGATTACGAGACTACCGCTCTTAACCACTACACCACACTGGCTCTCTTTGAAAGGAAAGGGAGGACCCCCTCCCTTTAGCAGTGCCTGCTGCCTACTTAAGTCCTGGCTTTGGAACTCCAAAGCACCAAATCTCCCCCCCCCCTGCACTGCAGAACACAAGGGCGGCAGTGCAGTTGGACTCACATCTTGTTGGTGGGCTTCTATACACATCTGTTAGGCCACTGTGAGAACAGTATGCTGAACTTTGTGGCCCTTTATAGTCCGATATAGCAGGGCTCTTCTTACCCTCTTATGAACCACAATTAAGCAAAGTCTTACACTTTGCTGTCAAAACACACACTTCATAGTATGAACAAATTTATCCTCCAAGTGTATTGATGATCAGGTCAAAATGGTTTGTTCCAATTGCATCTACATATATCAAGGAAATCTACTCTGATGAAAGACAATAATTTGAAGAAGGAAAAAAAATCCTTCCAGAACCAGGAATCATTGGCTTTTGGGCTGATGATTATGCCACAGAACCAAACAGTAATCCTACTTGCTCAAAAATAAAAATGAAAATAAAAAAATCAGGAAGGAAACAGGGTGACAATTCCCACGGCTCTCAAATGTTTATCATGCAAAGTTTATTTTGCTTTCCTACCTGTTATTATCAAGCTTGCAAATGAATAAGCTACTTGAATACAGCTCTTAGTACTTTTATTGCTATCTAGGGTGAAATGAAATAAATAACAACAACAACAACAACAACGGCATTTTAATCATGTACCTTTATAGGAAATTGTGTGACTGGGATAATTGATACCAAGAGGAATAACTATAGAACATAGCTAGCAACATTCCATTACTTTAATGATTTTTACATTTTCAACTGCAGTGAAAATGGCTTTTATATTAAACAACCTTGAAATATATATTCACTGCTCTTTTCTGAACTATTACCAATTCTGACAGTAAGAGCTGTTTGACAGTGAAATGGACTCCCTCGGAAGGTGGTGAACTCTCCTCCCTTGGAGGTTTTTAAGCAGAGTTTGGATGGTCATCTGTCATGGATGCTTTACCCTCAGGGCCACTTCTAGAACTACAATTCTATGATTCTATGTCCCACTCAACATATCTTCATGCATTCTAGTCACCATGTGCATGTCTGCAGCAATTACAGATTACACACTCAGGGTAACCCATCACAATATGGGTCAAATACCAACAGTTTGTGGAACAGAACATTTTGGGAGGCCCAGCTTTTCTGAAACTTGCACCACTGTGACACCATAAGATGCAAGTTTCTTCTATTTCTCCATAGCTATTAATGGTAGATAAATGAGTCCTGTTGTCATTTGCATTTAATCACTTTACATCTGAGCAGGGGAGTACCTAGGGGTTGGCCAACTTGACCCCCACCAAGGGCCCAGGCCCGGGGGGGTGGCGCACACAAAAATTGTGCCTCTCCACTCTGGCTTGGAGTAGGAAGGAGCCTACCAGTCCCTCCACATACTCTGTGAGCTGCTCCTCTGCTCCTCTGAGTGGCTGTGCAAGGCACACAGAAAGAATCCAGTTGCTGGTGTGGGCCACTGGAAGACACTACATTGATTAGGCTAGAACATGAATCTTTAATCTAGACATGCTGGTTATCTATCATCTATCTATCTATCTATCTATCTATCTATCTATCATCTATCTATCTATCTATCTATCTATCTATCTATCATCTATCTATCTATCATCTATCTATCTATCTATCATCTATCTATTTATCTATCATCTATCTATCTATCTATCTATCTATCTATCTATCTATCTATCATCTATCTATCTTTCTATATCTGCATTCAGTCATGTGAGCCTTTGTCCACCAATAGTGGTACAACCCAGAATATAAGTTTACTATTTCAGTGAGAATTAGGCCTTCACAGTCCATGTAACAGTCATGTAAAGCAAACTGCTGGTATCGCCATATGATGAGGTACTAAGAGACTTGTGTCTATCCTAGTCCACCTGGTGAGTTTTTAAGAAAAAAAAGATGACATTTGAACCTCTCTCTTAAGTCATTACTTACTCTCAGTTTAGATCTTATTATGAAATTGTTCAGTCTTACTAACGCTGTTCTTCTCCGCTAACATGATGGAATATGACCTTAGTTTCCACCTTGTCCTTAGTCTGTGAGCAGTGTGGCATATGTATCATTGTTGAGTTCCTTCAGACCAGTTAATTCTATTAATAATTCAGTGTTTAATCATTCAATTAAATGCATCATTGTCCTCATCTAGAGGGCAAAACATAGAATATTATCCAGTTCAATTAGCATCCCAGAATATTCCTTGATAAAGGGTTTGTTGTTGTTGTTTTATGAAGGATAAGATTTAAAGAATATATAGGCAGAAAGCTCCAAGAATATCCCCACACTTTGTAACACATAGTCATTATTTGGAAGAGCAATTATCTACTTCATTTGCTAAGGCCTTTATTGAATTTCAGAGTTCCACTGTTGCCGCTGGGACACTTACCAGTGGGGGCCAACCCAGAAGTGGATTAATAAGTTGTTTCTTCCTGCTGCTGTGGAACTAGATAAAGGGAAGGTTCAGTGAACTATAGTTACTGTAGAGGTATTGCACCATCACAAGAGGGAGGTCAAATGGTCAGGAGCTGGCCTCTTGGGATGTGGCCTTCACTGCAAGAAACATGTTCTTAAATACAAAGCTTGGAGGATAACCCTTGGGAGCTCTTTCTGTATTCTGGCTGTTCTAAAGCAATTCAGCACAGAAAAGCAGCTCAAAAGTACATTGATTAAATTATTAATGTTTACTTGATGCAGCCCATTGAATAATTAGGAAAGGAATGCTTTGCTTATTTTCAGAGATACTGTCAGATTTTTTTTAACTTTGCGCTAGTACGGTGAAGAGCCCATTAGTACAGAAAGATGAGAGAGCATGTTTGTTGCCCTGATAGCTTTTCAGTCAAGCATCTCCAGGGCTGAATTGGAATACCTAGTTAACACAAGCACTTGGCAGGAATTAACCCCTTCAAGCCAAAATTCCTGCTGATGGGCATTGCTTCCATCCAGGTCCCAGCAGAAGGGGAAAGGAAAGGCAATATGGAACCTGGTTGCTGCACTGGAGGCAGGTGATCTAGAGAAGGGGTGGGCAACCCATGACCCTCCAGATGCTGCCAGACCTCACCTCCCACCACCCCTGATCAATGAGCGTGCTGCTTGGGGCTGATTGATATTGGGAGTCCAATAATAACTGGAAGGCACCAGGTTCCTCTCCCTTGAACCTCAACCCTACTATGGCAAGCTTCCAGTTTCCAGTACTTACTGTACATATACCTTTACTGTTAAAGTAAAGGTACAGGTAAATGGACCCCTGACCATTAGGTCCAGTCGTGACCCACTCTGGGGTTGCAGCTATCATTTCACTTTATTGTCTAAGGGAGCTGGCATACAGCTTCCAGGTCATGTGGCCAGCATGACTAAGCTGCTTCTGGCGAACCAGAGCAGTGCACGGAAATGCCGTTCACCTTCCCACCAGAGCGGTACCTATTTATCTACTTGCACTTTGACGTGCTTTCGAACTGCTAAGTGGGCACGTGACTGTTAAAGTAGCTACATACAAATATAACTTGTCTTCTTGTGCCATTAATAACTGTGAAGAAGAAAGAATTTCAATGGGTGCAGCGTCTCCCCCTCATTAGATTACAGAAAACGCACCTACTCCAATTCCCTCTTTCAAAGAACAGTTGACAATTCAGGGTGATATCCAATATTAGTCATAAGCTGAGCATACCCACTGCAATAAAGAGGTCTGCTCTGAGCATTACTCAATTGGATATCAGCCACATAGCACAGGCCTTTCATGCATTTAGTCACCAGTTTGTGCATCATTTTGTAAGTGCAACTGCCTCCACCTCTGTAAACTTGCCTCCTTAGTACAGCCTCCAGCCATGTACTCCTTTCCAATGAGTGTATACAGTCTCACCTGGAGTGCTCACCAAATGGCTCATCTTCCAGAGGATTTTTTTCTTTACCTGTAGGCGCATCTACCGGGAAGAAGCATGGAGGGAGCATAATAGTAACAACAGACTTCTAACTGCTTTCCGTGATCTTTCATTGCACTGTACTCCATCTTCATCTCTGGTTAATCTGCCACATCTCTTTTGGCTGCGTACTTATGTGAAATAATGCCAGAGAAGTCCACATTTGGCCCACGTTGCCTTTGAGCAGAGTGTTTGAATCCTGTTCTATTGCTGCCTGCCCTCCTCATTTCTTTCATAGCTACGTGGTGGGATCTCCTTTTGGTGTCCACACAAGCCATCTATGGAGTAACAGTCCTTTTTTGCAGGGATTGCTAACATCAATGTGCCTATTTGCTACAGTGACCTCCTAAGTGGGAAACAACTGTAAGGCCTCCAGCAATGACTTCCACCTGTGTCTGCCACATAAAGTCTATGACTAGCAATACCCTCAGCACATTTTTGAAAAATAATGGCCTGAGCACTTAGGTCCAGATCATGGCCTCAGACATTGGTTTCATGCTTATGCTAAGACCTGTTTGTGTCAACTGAGAAGTAGCTCTGCAATGAGAGATGTCTCCTTAATTTGGTTCTCAAAAATATGCCCTATTTACAATTTGGTTTAAAAATAACCAAGCACTTGACAGATATTTTCTAGACTGCTGCCACAACAAAAATGTGTTTCATGCCTGTAAAGCAACAATGTCAAAGCAGTATTGTCGCTTCTGTTATTTGTTATCAGCATAATAGCAAAAGAACTCCTTTGGAACAAATAGAATATAATATGCATTTCCAGAGTTTTTTTATGGTTATAAATTGCCATTCTGTGCTGGAGTCACTTGCAGTCATTAGCAAATAATGACAATATAATGATAATCTTCAATGCTCATGAATCTCGCACCAACCTTTCTGCTGAGCTTATAATTAAGATGTCAGAATTAATTTGTCTTGGAAAGCTGAGGCTTTTTTTTTTTGTTTTTAAGAGGGGGAGCCAAGATTGATTCCAGCTTCATGTACAGATAACAGTCTGACTCTTCCGCATTGGCTGCAAGGATTCTCCATAGTGTGAAGAACAGTGCACTGGAGTGGAAATGAAGCTCTCTTCTCTACGTTGATAGATGTAGATGTCAATTTTTGTAAGTATAAGACGTAAGGAAGAAAATAAATCTGCTTTGCTTAAAAAGAAAACATACTTTTGCAAGCAGATAATCAGGGATACCAAGAAGCTTCCTGCTTCATCAGCTGATGCATATGTTTGTGGCAGGGTAATGCTGTATTGTCTCCTGGGTTTAGTCTTCTGTAAATAATTCCATGTCCTATATTTCTTTCTCTCTAAGATACACACTACTGTACAGAATATTGAGAATGAATAAGAGGATCTAGGTTCTGAACATATACAACAAAAATCAGAATAACACTAACAGAAATACCCAAGCTCCGTGCTTAACTATCCTAGCTGCTTATGCCTGGTTTCTTAACTGACCAGTTTTACAATCCATCTTCTGTAATTTTATTATGGTTGATTCTTAGGTATTGCAGATGAGCTCATCCATCAAACCAATTGCCTTGAAAATTAAACCTTTTTAAAGTGCTGCTTTACAATTTGCAAAATATATCAGAATGTGACAGTGGGTATTATGGGACAAGTAAACTTCACTTAGCTTGTATTGCCCAATATAAAGAAGTTGATTGTTAAATGGGAAGGCTGTGAGGCAGGTTGGATGAGATTATTTGATTGCAAAAATCTCAAAAAATAGGAATGATAAATTCAGAGGAGGGAGAAGTTGTTCTGCTTTGTATCAATTCAGTGTTCATCTTATTTTGAAAAAAAACGAGAAATTCTGTAACTCTCAGATGGCTACCTGAATTGCTGCACATATAAATTCCTTACCCATTGCCTGGTTGTATGCACCCATCACAACCACCAAATATAAATTATAATTTTTGTGTCTCACTCTCATCTTCACCATCCTTTTTGTCATAAAACAACAACATAGTTCCCCTCCCCCCAAGTCACATATGTAGGCTTAAACATTTAACAGCTGCACATGCTGCACATGTGAGAGTTGGCATATGCAGGAATTCATAGTGGGCAGCTGGAACCTAGTGGTCATATAAATCAGACAAAAGTCAATTTTATTGGAGGCTGTGGTCCAAATGGAAAGCAGATCACACCCTTTCTGTAGACAGCACCATATTCCATCTTCCCAATGTTTGCTACCTGTTAATTTTCAAATATTATGTGATTATTCACATGATATAAAAGCCACTACTGGAAAACCAGCAGAATCTAGTGGAAGTTTAGTGCTCATGTCCCTGTTATTTGCTTCCAGGGAAAAAATCTGTTAGCAATCCAGTTAACTTAGAAAATCATAGGCTTTTTGCATTGCAATTTCACATGACAAAATTTGGGGTGGTATTCTTCCATACAGCTTTCCCCCACTATTTAAAATTTAGCATGGCATGGTGATCAAAAGGCCACAGTTCTATAACTGCAGGTAATGTGGTGTAAAAGGAATCTTATGTTTTACTGTTAATCTGCTTTATAGGTATTTTAAATTTGTTTTTAGTTCTGTTGTATGCTGCCCTGAGAAGTTGTTTTTACAGAGTCTCAAAAATGTGCTCTCCCAAGCCCACATTCTCAGCATGTTCACATTCTTCTCTCAGTGACAACTATGCTGACTTGGTCATGTCCACAGAATGGAAGATGGCAGGGTCTCCAAGGACGTGCTCTATGGGTAGCTGGCTTCTGGCACCAGGCCCATTGGCAGACCAACTATGTGTTACAAAGATGTCTGCAAATGAGACACGAGGGCTGGCAACATCAAACCCACCATGTGGGAATGTCTTGCGGATGACATCAGTGCCTGGAGACTGAAAGTCAGGTTTGACTTCACCCCCGAAGGTGCACACTTCCATTGTCTCCTGAGAAAGACAGATGCCACCACCACCACCAACTCTTTAACAATATAATGGGGTAAAGGTAAAGGGACCCCTGACCATTAGGTCCAGTTGTGACCGACTCTGGGGTTGTGGCGCTCATCTCGCTTTACTGGCCGAGGAAGCTGGCATACAGTTTCTGGGTCATGTGGCCAGCATGACTAAGCCGCTTCTGGCGAACCAGAGCAGCGCACGGAAACGCCGTTTACCTTCCCGCCAGAGCGGTACCTATTTATCTACTTGCACTTTGACGTGCTTTCAAACTGCTAGGTTTTCAGGAGCAGGGACCGAGCAACGGGAGCTCACCCCGTTGTGGGGATTTGAACCGTGACCTTCTGATTGGCAAGTCCTAGGCTCTGTGGTTTAACCCACAGTGGTAGATTACCTGTAAATGAGACTTTCTCTCTCTCCAACTTCTAAATACTGGCTTAGCTTTCCTTCTGTTTCATTATTTGTTACTTACAAATAATGATGCTTGCTTTTCTGAAATACACATCATTGTCATAAGACACCTCTTTCATATTACTTTTGAAAACACACTTTCCATTGCACGTCATAGTCCGCCAAGAAACCGCCACAGTCCACATTGTCACAGATGTGGCTGTCAACCATTTTTCTCCAGATGGAACTGCACTGGCCCTATAAAACTCAGCGTTATCAAGCTTAAAACACATTATTCCCTCTAGTGGATTCCAAATGCTGAAAAGCTTGTAGCAAAATTAATTAAAACAAATTATGTTTGTGGAGTAGTCAAGGATGTATACTCTCCCACCCACCCCCTTTAACAGTCAACTCACACTTAGAGATGATTCATATCTTTCCCCATTGCAGCCATATGTCTGGAGCACAACTCATTAGTACCATATGGCCAGGGGCTCCTATCGTTATAGCTGGTAACTGAGCAACATTGGGATTCAGAGCTGGGCACAATCAGGTGATACACCATCCGGATTTCTGGGTGATGCTTATGTGAGTAAAGGTTCCCACACAGTCAATATGACCATGTGGTTAAGCTTCAGTCACTCCATAATTGCAATCATGTGGTTGAATTGATGTCTCCCTCCCCTCCTGCAAATTAGCTTCCTTTCTTGAGCAATAAAGAAAACCATACTTTAAAAGTTCCTGTTGTATGTGTCATTCAGGAATTCCTGTCCATATATATATTTTTTACCTCCGGCCCATTCTGAGATTTGAACCTCTGATTCAAATACTGAGCTCTGCAACAATTATTACTTTAGCATTACTGGAAAGCAGAACAGCTTCCTTTTAGAACTGCTTAAATGTTGCAAGAATAAGATTTCAGAGGAACTTTAATGTGTGCTCTTTTTTTAAAAAAAATACTTAATATCACAGAGTTCAAGATACCATTTTCTGTCTGGTTTCATGAGGTGTGCTAGGATTACCACAGCTAGGAGTCCAGGCACCTACTCAGGTTTTGTGTTTCCTTTGGAAATGAGAAACAGCAGAGACTGTAGTGTCTTATGATATATGGTATATTTACACAAATATACAACCTGAACCTAGGATGGAGGTTCATGGCCGCAGTCATGGATTCAAACTGACAGTCCACATTGTTCTGACAACCCCACCCTCCAGCTTGCAAACTGTTTGTTTCAGCATACGTAAGGCAAAATTGCAATCCTGAAAACTCTTTGTTGTTGTTGTTGTTTAGTCGTGTCCGACTCTTCGTGACCCCATGCACCAGAGCATGCCAGGCACTCCTGTCTTCCACTGCCTCCCACAGTTTGGTCAAACTCATGCTGGTAGCTTCGAGAACACTGTCCAACCATCTCATCCTCTGTCATCCCCTTCTCCTTGTGCCCTCAATCTTTCCTAACATCAGGGTCCTGAAAACTCTACTACTGGCCTTTCTTCTACTTAACTCTGACCTCAGGGAGGGCTTCACCCATTTCCCAGCTGGTACAGCCTTAGCTTTGCTAATGGCTTTCTTAATTGGCCATCACCCATCCCTTTTGTGTTATTTTGATGGCCCATCTCTCAGGTGATTACTACATCAGGAAGCCAGACTGGCTGATATTTTAACATGCAAGATTCTACCTCTGGAACCCAGAAATTAGAAGCAGAGTCCAGAAATTAGAAAGGGAGCCAGGACACCCCACAAAGATATAACAATACCATACAAAGACTGTTAAGGACTCTTCACACTGTCTTTGGTCTTCTTTATACAGATTTCATGGCTGGCCTGTGAGTGCCCCAATTGGAGAACAGCCTGTCATGGGCTCTGAAGATGCTTGAACTCAGGACGAAAGGGAGAAACGTGCTAAGAGGAAGGCACACTTGGCAAACCCTCACCAGGATCAACTGTCCCCACTGTGGAAGGATGTGTGGATCCAGAACTGGCCTCCACAATCACTTACGGACCCACTGTTAAAACCTTGTTTATGGAAGACAATCTTACTCAGCGACAAGAGAGAGAGAAAAAAGTAAATACTGACCTTTCCTCACTCATCATCACATATCAATCACAGCGAATAACTCCTTGTGCTAGGCAGCTACACAAGAAGTGACAATAACAACAAATTTCCATGATCCTGGGGGGTCTTTGTTCTTGTTCAAGCCTGGTCACTTCTACTGTAGTGCACAAGCAAGTTGCCATTTTTTAAAAAATTCAACGGGGCATGAAGGCTATTACCCATATTAGTCTAATGGGGTGTCACTAGAGTGGGGGAAACTCCAGTGCCTTTAATGGATAATAGGCTGATAAATGGAGTTTCCCTCATCACTGCATTTTCCTATAAGGAAAAGCCACAGCCATTTAATATGTTCTTTTTATGCATCTTTTCAAAGCAGCACTGAAGACAGGGGAAAAGGTTGTAACTTTATACAACACAACTGAATTCTGTCATTTTCCTCTCTGCATGAAGCTCTGGCACTGCCAGCGATAAGGTAGCAGGGATAGATAAGAAAGAAGATAAAGGCACAATGCAAAACCCCGTATTTCTAATTTTATGGGCAGTCTGATATAAATGCCAGTTTTCTGTTGGGAAGACTAAATTGGCTCTAATCCAAGTACTCCATCTTCAATAGGCTGCATAGGCTGCAGCCACAAAATCCATGCTTTCAGAGCACTTTATTTAATTAAAGTGGATAGTCTGAACTTACAAATGTTCTATTCTAGGAGAAACAAAATTCTAGCAGCAACCACTTAAAATGTATCTTGAATGAAAACTACTTTCAAGTATCCTTATAAGGATTGAAAATGGAACATGTAAAAAATAATAATCTTCATTACCAACCCTTCAGGTCTTCATTTTTAATCCATTTTTTTCTGCTCAACCCAGGATTTTCTGAAAATGGTATTTTGTCAACATATTTTTTTAAAAAAATATATACAGTTTAGTTTCCAAAAGCTTGGTTACTAGAAAATGTAAAGTCACATAATTTTTGTGTGTTTTTGCAAGGTGTTTTATATACCGTATTTTTCGCTCCATAACACGCGTTTTTTTCCTCCTAGAAAGTAAGGGGAAATGTCTGTGCATGTTACGGAGCGAATGCTTCCCTCCTCCGTGGTTTCCAGCGGGAGAAGAGCCGCTGAATGGGGAGGAGAGAGGGACAGAGTGCCTGCTTCTTTAAAGGAGCAAAGCGAAAGGGGAGAGGGGAGAGGAGCCGCTTACACGAGTGTAAGCGGCTCCTGTCCGGTTGGCTCCTTTAAAGCAAGAAGGTTCTGCTTCTCTCCCTCCTCCCCACTCAGCGGCTCTTCTCCCGCTTTGCTGGAAATAGCAGGAAAGATTTTCAGCTTGCTAAGGGGGGGGGGGGGGAGGGAGAGAAGCAGAGCCTGCTTGCTTTAAAGGAGCCAAGCGGGAGAGGAGCCGCTTACACGAGTGTAAGCGGCTCCTGTCCGGTTGGCTCCTTTAAAGCAAGCTGGCTCTCTGTATCTCTCTCCTCCCGCTTTGCTGGAAACAGCAGGAAAGATTTTCAGTCTCCTCCCGCTTTGCTTTTCAGCTCGCTAAGGGCAGGGGGGGGGGGAGGAGGGAGAGAAGCAGAACCTGCTTGCTTTAAAGGAGCCTACCGGACAGGAGCCGCTTACACGAGTGCTCTCTGTCCCTCCAGCTGGAGGCTCTCTGTGCCTCCAGCAAAGTTTTTCAGCTCACTAAGGAGGGAGAGAAGCAGAACCTGCTTGCTTTAAAGGAGCCTACCGGTAGGCTCCTTTAAAGCAAGCAGGCTCTCTGTCTCTCCAGCAAAGTTTTTCAGCTTGCTAAGGGGGGGGGGGAGGGAGAGAAGCAGCGCCTGCTCCATGCGTGCTCCTTGTCCCTTGAGTCCTTTTCCTTCCTCCCCACTTAAAACGTGGTTACAAAGCACAGATCCACATGGATCCTCAGGATTTTTGCACGGGGTCACCCCAAATTCACCATCAGATCACATAGCATGTCCATGGCTACAGTTTGCACCAAAAAAATCATGCACCCACTGTTACCTAGGGCTGCAGTGGTGCAAAAACATGGTTACAAACATGGATCCACATGGATCCTCAGGATTTTTGCATTGGGCTACCCCAAACTCACTGTCAGATCACATGTCTGTGGCCACAGCATGAACCACAAAAATCATACATCCACTGTTTCATTTAGAATATTTTTTTCCTTGTTTTCCTCCTCTAAAAACTACATGCGTGTTATGGTCGGGTGCGTGTTATCGAGCGAAAAATACGGTATATATATATAGAGAGAGAAAGAGAATGAGTGTCTCTTATTTACAAGAGTTTTCTGGAGGTTACTATTGCAACACAATCCTAAACATATTTACTCAGAAATAAATTTCCCATTGTGTTCAGTGGGGTTTGCTCAATCTAGGATTGCAACCGAAGAGTAATCTTCATTGAACATGCTGGGACTTAATTCTGAATAAACATGCATGATACATGATCATACAATACTTATGTCAACCTTACCAATATGGAACTGTAGTTAAGCATATATGGCTTTTGCAAAGTGTTTGTATCTGAGTACGTCAATATTAAAACAAAATCCCAAATTGTAAATTTCTGGCAGAACTGGAAAATATTTGCAGTAGTTTTGGATGTGCAGAAACAATATTAAAAATGTGTTAGCTCATTTTATTTGACACTACCTGTAATGCCTCCTTTGTGCTTACTTAGGCTAAGTATATAGTATACCTTTATAGCACACTTGAAGTGCTGTAGTAAACTACAGTGCAATCTACTCAGAAGTAAATCCTAATGAATTTGATGGGAGCTTAGTCCCAGCTGAGTGGCATTAGGATTGCAGCCTTATTAAATTTTTGACAGAAATGAAATTTGAACCAGGGAATTTCCCCCCAGATCCTACCCCTAGCCCTAGCCCTAGAACATGACTCAAATACGAGGGAGTGAGAGATGCTTTCCCCCCATCTCAAAATATACTGGTGAGAAGTAAGTGCCAAGGCACCAGTTGTCACCTTTTAGAATGCAGAGGAACTTCCATTTATTTTTCTCTAACATTACATCTGCCTGTAGCATATTAATATATGTAATTGTGTATACGGAAAATATATATACTATGCACACATCCATTTGGTGTGGAGAAAGTGTTGCCCAGTATTCTCCATGTCAAGCAGTTAATTTAATGTAGTGTCTGTCTCCAGAAGTTATCAGAAGGAGCCACAGTCACACCAAGTGCAAATCTCTTGAAATTTCGGTCATATGGGTGGTTTTATTGAACATGTGCTGTATAATCAATTTAAAGTGCTCTTAAAGTGGGTAAGAGAGGTGCACTACCACAGTCTTAAAGATGCAAAATTGTCTTGAAAGCATTTTTTTTAAAGCCCCCCATGCAACACACACACAAATGTTGCTGTAGATGCATAAGATTCCCAGTGACCGATTAAAAAGGACACACTTGACCTCACTAGCTGTTTAAAGGTCACCACTGAAGCATGCCTAAAACAACCCATTGGCAGCATGGCAGCATTGCCATTTACAGGAGCCCTGAGCAGGAACAGCTTGTTTTAATTTCTTCATTTTAAAAGACAAGAAAATAAACCCCTATATGCATTCCCACTGCTGCATTTGCTTGCTTCCTAGGCAGTGAAGGCTAGGTATATTCTAAAGGATGCTCGGGGCCAATCAAAAATTCATGTGCACTTGCTTCTCCATATGTGTTTTTATTACTAACAGATTTTTCAGCTGATACTATACCAGGGAATAAATTATTTAGCTGAACTTACTAACTTCTGCTACTTAATTTTTCCATTACAGTTACATGCTTCTGAATGGAATACCGTAGCTTCCCTCTATATCTACATGTTGGCCTGTTAAAATGATGCTTTTACGTTGAAGGCAAGATGCAGAACTAGCTTTAACTCAGGCCATGGTACAGTGCAACTGCTAATCAGCCATTAAGAGTCTTGAACAGAGATGGCATGTTCATGCAATCGCTTGTTATTGGCTCCGGTAAATGTTAAGGGCTGGTCAAGTGTTACTGATGAAAAGATATGTGTTTTAATTCGATACAGTAACTCTGCGACATTTATTTTATCACATCCTATACACCCTCCCAAAACAGGTTCCCTATTCTTTTTTTTTTTTTTAGGAACATGGGGATAATTTTTTAATTGTATTATGTTGCATGTGGATTATTTCCTTCCATATTCCCAAATACACAATTTCTCACCTCATCTCCATGCATATACCTATGCTCAGTTTTATTTTTCTAGAAAAAGAGGTGCCGGAACTCTCCTTGAATACTTCTCTTGTTCTCTTAGAATGGCAATTCCTGTGAGTTCCCCCTGAAAAAAAGCCCTGCCTTTGCTGAAAATGGTAATTTCTATCAAAAGGTATTTTGGGGGAGGGATCCACTTGAGCAGTAATATTCCAGGAGGACAAGTATTATTAACCAATTCCAAAGCACATGTCATCATACACTGCTAAAACGTTTGTATGTTGTTCACCCTCACAACAGTCTTATGAACTAGAAGTAACCTATTTGTCGTAGTATAGGTGGGAAACTGAGAGTTACGGCACTTCCATACTGTTGCTATTTTGTGATGGAATCCAATCACATACCAGCAAATTCAGGTCACACAATTAGAGTTGATTGGGAGTTATTGCATTACAAAGCCACTTCCCAAAATATTGGACTTTTTGCTATAATGAAAGTGACAGGAAGATGCATGGGAAAGTTTGGGGCAACACTTGCTTGATGCACTGTTGCCTAATCTTTCTGTAACAAATTTGACTGAATGTTCAAAAAGCAGGTTGGAAAGTCCTATTCAGAGGATCCAGGCCAAAGATCCATGTCAGATCACTGCAGTGACCTGCGGCTTTTCGACACACATTGACAA